GAATACTGTCAGGATAAGGGGAGGGAGGGTGGTAGGGAGGGAGGGAGGGAGGGAGGGAGGGAGGGAGGGAGGGAGGGAGGGAGGGAGGGAGGGAGGGAGGGAGGGAGGGAGGGAGGGAGGGAGGGAGGGATGGAGGAATACTGTTAGGATAAGGGCGAGGGAGGGAGGAATACTGTCAAGATAAGGGGGAGGGAGGGAGTAATACTGTCAGGATAAAGGGGATGGAGGGAGGGAAGGAGTAATGCTGTCAGGATAAGGGGGAGGGAAAGAGGAATACTGTCAGGATAAGAGGGAGGAAGGGAAGAATACTGTCAAGATAAGGTGGAGGGAGGGAGGGAGGGAGGGAGGGAGGGAGGGAGGGAGGGAGGGAGGGAGGGAGGGAGGGAAGGAGGAAGGGAGGGAGTGAGGGAGGGAGGGAGGAATGCGGTCAGGATAAGGGGGGAGGGAGGGAGGGAGAAATGCGGTCAGGATAAGAGGGGAGTAGGGAGGGAGGGAGGGAGGAATACTGTCAGGATAAGGGTGAGGGAGGGAGGAATACTGTCATGATAAGGGGGAGGGAGGGAGGAATACTGTCATGATAAGGGGGAGGGAGGGGGGAATACTGTCATGATAAGAGGGAGGGAGGGAGGAATACTGTCAGGATAAGGGGGAGGGAGGGAGGAATACTGTCAGGATAAGGGGGAGGGAGGGAGGGAGGAATACTGTCAGGATAAGGGGGGAGGGAGGGAGGAATACTGTCATGATAAGGGGGGAGGGAGGGAGGAATACTGTCAGGATAAGAGAGGAGGGAGGGAGTAATACTGCCAGGATAAGAGGGAGAAAGGGAGGGAGGAATACTGTCAGGATAAGAGGGAGGGAGGGAGGAATACTGTCAGGATAAGAGGGAGGGAGGGAGGAATACTGTCAGGATAAGGGGGAGGGAGGGAGGAATACTGTCAGGATAAGAGGGAGGGAGGGAGGAATACTGTCAGGATAAGGGGGAGGGAGGGAGGAATACTGTCAGGATAAGAGGGAGGGAGGGAGTAATACTGTCAGGATAAGAGGGAGGGAGTAATACTGTCAGGATACTCGTCACCTATTCAGATGTCATGTCACTTAATGCTTCACCAATATCAGAAAATAATAATTGCTAACAGAACATAAACATCTAATCTACGTCTATACATAACAATATTAATTTAATTTATAAATACCGAATTTGAACACACAATAAGTGTAATTTATGGTCTGTGTGTGGGATCTCTCCAGCTTGGACGACCATAGTTTGAGGATAGCGAGTGGTTCAGTGCTCGCTGGCTAGCTATCTGCCCCTGGCACAACCGTGACGGTTGGATATCTAACCTCAGGCACAACCATGAGGGCCAGATATATAACCTCAGGCACATCCATGAAGGCCAGATATCTGACCCTGGCACAACCATGAAGGCAAGATATCTGACCCTGGCACAACCATGAAGGCAAGATATCTGACCCTGGCACAACCATGAAGGCAAGATATCTGACCCTGGCACAACCATGAAGGCAAGATATCTGACCCTGGCACAACCATGAAGGCAAGATATCTGACCCTGGCACAACCATGAAGGCAAGATATCTGACCCTGGCACATCCATGAAGGCAGGATATCTGACCCTGGCACAACCATGAAGGCCAGATATCTGACCCTGGCACAACCATGAAGGCAAGATATCTAACCCTGGCTCAACCATGAATCTTTGGATATCTGATCATGGCAAAACCATGATGGTTGAATATGTCCCCTGGCACAACCATGATGGCTAGATATCTTGTAGTGGCAAATGGAATTCAATATTAATAAATGCCGTGTTATAGAATGTGGAATCGGAGAAAATAGACCACACACAACTTACCAATTATGTGGAAAGTAATTACAGAACACTAATAAAGAAAGAGACCTAAGGGGGGGGGGGTGGATAGTAAGGTGTCGCCAGAGGAACACATAAAGAACATTGTGAGAGGAGCGGATGTGTCGCTTTCCAACTTGAGACTTGCTGTTAATTATATGGATGGTGAAATACTACAGGAACTGGTCATGACTGTTGTGAGACCAACACTGGAATATGCAGCAGTTGTATGGGGCCCAAACCTCCAGAAGCACATCAATACACTGGAAAAGGTGCAACGGCATGATACAAAATGGCTTCCGGAACTGAAAAACAAAAGTTACGAGGAGAGACTAGAGGCGTTAAACATGCCAAAACTAGAAGATAGAAGAAAAAGAGGAGATATGATCACCACATACAAAATACTAACAGGAATCGACCAAATTGTTAAAGAGGAATTTCTAAAATCAGCAACTTCATGAACAAGAGGACACAGATTCAAGCTAATGAAACAAATGTGCCGACAAAATATTAGAAAGTATTCTTACACAAACAGAGTGGTAGACGGTTGGAACAAGTTAGGTGAGAAGGTGGTGGAGGCCAAGACCGGCAGTAGTTTCAAAGCGTTATATGACAAAGAGTTCTGGGAAGACGGGACACCACGAGCGTAGCTCTCATCCTGTAACTACACTTAGGTAATTACACTTAGGTAATTACACACTAGTGTCCCTAACCTGCATACCATGCAAGCTGATGGAGAAGATTGTGCGAAGAAAGCTAGTGGAACATCTGGAGCGAAAGAACATTGTAATACAGCATCAACATGGATTCAGGGATGGCAAGTCCTGCCTCACAGGGTTACTTGAATTCTACGACCAGGCAACAAAAATCAGGCAAGAAAGAGAGGGTGGTCAGACTGCATATTTTGGATTGCCAGAAAGCCTTTGATACAGTACCACACAAGAGGCTAGTAAAAAAGCTGGAGATGCAGGCTGGAGTGAAAGGGAAGGAATTCCATTAGATAAGGGAGTACCTAAACAACAGAAGACAACGAGTCACTGTGAGGGGTGAGGTCTCAGATTGGCGAGACGTCACCAGTGGAGTCCCGCAGGGGTCAGTACTTGGATCTATACTGTTTCTGATATATGTAAATGATCTCCCAGAGGGTATAGACTCGTTTCTCTCAATGTTTGCTGATGATGCTAAAATTATGAGGAGGATTGAAACTGAGGATGATAGTAGGAGGCTACAAGATGACCTAGAAAGACTGAATGAATGGTCCAACAAATGGCTGCTAAAGTTCAACCCGAGTAAATGCAACGTAATGAAACTAGGTGGTGGAAACAGGAGGCCAGATACAGGATACAGAATGGGAGCTGCAGTACTTCATGAAACGGACAGAGAGAAAGATCTAAGAGTTGATATCATACCAAACCTGTCTCCTGAAGCCCACATAAAATAATTACGTCTGCGGCATATGCGAGGCTGGCTAACATCAGAACAGCCTTCAGGAACCTGTGTAAGGAATCATTCAGAATCTTGTACACCACATACGTAAGACCAATCCTGGAGTAAGCGGCCCTAGCATGGAGCCCGTACCTTGTCAAGCACAAGACGAAGCTGGAAAAAGTTCAGAGGTATGCCACTAGACTAGTCCCAGAACTAAGAAGCATGAGTTACAAGAAAAGGCTGCGGGAAATGCACCTTACGACACTGGAAGACAGAAAAGTAAGGGGAGACATGATCACTACCTACAAAATCCTCAGGGGGAATTGACAGGGTAGACAAGGATAAACTATTCAACACTGGTGGTACGCGAACAAGGGGACACAGGTGGAAACTGAGTACCCAAATGGGCCACAGAGACGTTAGAAAGAACTTTTTCAGTGTCAGAGTAGTTAACAGATGGAATGTATTAGGCAGTGGTGTGGTGGAGGCTGACTCCATACACAGTTTCGAATGTAGATATGATAGAGCCCAGTAGGCTCAGGAATCTGTACACCAGTTGATTGACGGTTGAGAGGCGGGACCAGAGAGCTCAACCCCCGCCAGCACAACTAGGTGAGTACACACACACGTTTACATACGGTAGTACAGTGGCACCTGTACACCAGCTGACTGCCATGCAGTTGAGAAGCGGGACCCCAAGATCCTAAGCTCAACCCCCGCAAGCACAACTAGGAAAGTGCAGCTAGGTGAGTACACCGTTAAATACCAGCTGTCTTCGGTCAGGATTCTCCAAGTCCCACTTACGAAACCTCTACATCTTTCCTACATCATGGCGGAGTTGTTTACAAATATTATGCAGTTTATGAGTCATAAAACACAAGGAAGCTGTTTATAACAATAATAACCTTGGGTTATGACACTTCGTTTCCCCGTAAGCTGTTTAATAAGTGAAAATAAGGTCATCATAAATGTTAAAAGATGTACAGGTTTCGTAAGTGGACGCGTAACGGCTTGATGAATGGCCAGCGTGTGGGTCACTAGTGCGTATTGAGGGTGGCAGGCGTAGGTCAACCCTCCCCCTGCACCTTGGCCCCCTGCTACTGTGGCACCTTGGCCCCCTGGTATCCTGGCACAGTTACCTATTGTACCCTGACCACCTGGCCACGGCACCTTGGCACCGTTGCCCTTTGGCACCCTCCCCCTGAAGCCTGGCACCGGCCCCCACCCTGGCACCGGCCCCCCCCCCTGGCACCGGCCCCCCCCTGGCACCATCCACCCGCCATCGATCCAACAGCTGACTGGGTCAATGGTTGCCTATTGTCGCTTTCACCCTCAAATACTCTATATTTATTTCCATATTTGCGAATAATTTTGTATAGCGATCGTAAATTTGTTCAGACAGTTTGTTTACGTTTGTTTTTTAATGGGTATTTGTCGGTAACGGAGAGCTCTAGTATCAGTTTTACGGAGATGAGAACAAAACACCGGCAATAACACGTGCTAGGTTGCAACGTACGAATTTATTTCGATATTCGTTCCATACAGTCAGACATATATATCAATACAACATGAAATTTATGGTAATATAATACATATTACTGATAACAAACAGTGTTAGGGAAGCGAAATGAGGTAGAGGAGTTTTGTGACTAGTGATGGAGGGAGAGGAGGAGGGGGGAGCGCGCGCCGCTCTGCTCACTTGTCCGGCTCTGGCAGCCGCGTCCGGCCTCACTCCCGCAGTCTCCCGCCCCGCGCACGCGACCACACTCACGCTCCCTCCTCTCCTCTCTCCTCTCTCTCTCTCTCTCACTCTCTCACTCTCCCCGAGCCTCTCGCACCCCGCTCTACGGCTCACAATATTGTGTGTTAATGTGCAAAGTGTGACCAGTCGTCCACCTCCCCCCGCCCCCCCCTCGAGACCCACAATTGGGGAAAAATGTCAGGAAAAGGTTTGGGCGCGGTGAGCGGCGGCGGCGACGACGGCGGGGTTGCCGACGCCGCCAGTGTCCTCACACAAAGAACACTACCCGACACTAGCGAGCAGAACTGCTCCGCCCTGCACAATGGTGTTGTTATGTCCGGGGAGCCGCACGAGCCAGGCAACAGCAGCAGCAGCAGCCAGTGTTCCTTACACGTGTGGTCTAAGAAAGCGCTCCTGAGCAGGAAGGAGATCCCGAAGCATCTTCAGTTCAACCCTTACATCGAGACGGGCTACCGGCCGCTGCTCTCCGCCTGGGGCTGCCTCATGAGTCTCTTCTACTTCCACAACGAGACCATCAACATCATCACTCACGGTAAGGCGTCACTCATCCCTGAGTGCCAGCCGGGCTTGTGGCACCGGCGGCCTGGCTGGCTGGGTCAGTGCCACTCACCCCCCCCACCTCCCTCCCTCCTGGCAACCCTCATCTAACAACTGCTACACGGCCTGTACTCACCTACTGGGGTCGTTACTCACCTACTGGGGTCGTTACTCACCTACTGGGGATCGTTACTCATATACCGGGGGTCGTTACTCATATACCGGGGGTCGTTACTCAAATACCGGGGGTCGTTACTCAAATACCGGGGGTCGTTACTCAGCTACTGGGGGTCGTTACTCAGCTACCGGGGGTCGTTACTCAGCTACTGGGGGTCGTTACTCATATACCGGGGGTCGTTAATCACCTACCGGGGTCGTTAATCACCTACCGGGGTCGTTACTCAGCTACTGTTGGGTCGTTACTCAGCTACTGGGGTCGTTACTCACATACCGGGGGCCGTTACTCGGCTACCGCTGGTCGTTACTCAGCTACTGGGGGTCGTTACTCAGCTACTAAGGGGTCATTACTCAGCTACTAGGGGTCGTTACTCAGCTACCGGGGGCCGTTACTCGGCTACCGCTGGTCGTTACTCAGCTACTGAGGGTCGTTACTCAGCTACTGGGGTCGTTACTCAGCTACTGGGGTCGTTACTCAGCTACTGGGGGTCGTTACTCAGCTACCGGGGGCCGTTACTCGGCTACCGCTGGTCGTTACTCAGCTACTGGGGGTCGTTACTCAGCTACTAAGGGGTCATTACTCAGCTACTAGGGTCCTTACTCATATACCGGGAGTCGTTACTCAGCTACTGGGGGTCGTTACTCATATACCGGGTGTCGTTACTCAGTCACTGGGGGTCGTTACTCATATACCGGTAGTCGTTACTCAGCTACTGGGGGACGTTACTCAGCTACTGGGGGTCGTTACTCAGCTACTGGGGGTCGTTACTCAGCTACTGGGGGTCGTTACTCAGCTACTGGGGCTCGTTACTCAGCTACCGGGGGTCGTTACTCATATACCGGGGGTCGTTACTCATATACCGGGGGTCTTTAATCAGCTACCGGGGTCGTTACTCAGCTATTGGGGGTCGTTACTCAGCTACTGGGGGTCGTTACTCATATACCGGGGGTCGTTCCTCAGCTACCGGGGGTCATTACTCAGCTACCGGGGTCATTACTCAGCTACGGGGGACGTTACTCAGCTACCGGGAGTCGTTACTCAGCTACTGGGGTCGTTACTCATATACTGCGGGTCGTTACTCAGCTACTGGGGGACGTTACTCAACTACTGGCGTCGTTACTCATATACAAGGGGTCGTTACTCAGCAACTGGGGGACGTTACTCAGCTGCTGGGGGTCGTTACTCAGCTTCTGGGGGTCGTTACTCATATACCGGGGGTCGTTACTTAGCTACTGGGGGTCGTTACTCAGCTACCGGGGGTCGTTACTCAGCTACTGGGGGTCGTTACTCAGCTACCGGGGGTCGTTATTCAGCTACTGAGGGTCGTTACTCAGCTACTGAGGGTCGTTACTCAGCTACTGGGGTCGTTACTCAGCTACTGAGGGTCGTTACTCAGCTACTGAGGGTCGTTACTCAGCTACTGGGGTCGTTACTCAGCTACTGAGGGTCGTTACTCAGCTACTGGGGTTATTACTCAGCTACTGGGGGTCGTTATTCAGCAACTGAGGGTCGTTACTCAGCTACCGGGGGTCATTACTCAGCTACTGGGGGTCGTTATTCAGCTACTGGGGGTCGTTATTCAGCTACTGAGGGTCATTACTCAGCTACTGGGGGTCGTTACTCATATACCAGGGGTCGTTAATCAGCTACCGGGGTCGTTACTCAGCTACTGAGGGGTCGTTACTCATATACCGGGAGTTGTTACTCAGCTACTGGGGGACGTTACTCAGCTACTGGGGGTCGTTACTCATATACCGGGGGTCGTTCCTCAGCTACCGGGGGTCGTTACTCAGCTACCGGGGTCATTACTCAGCTACGGGGGACGTTACTCAGCTACCGGGGGTCGTTACTCAGCTACTGGGGTCGTTACTCATATACCGCGGGTCGTTACTCAGCTACTGGGGGACGTTACTCAACTACTGGCGTCGTTACTCATATACAAGGGGTCGTTACTCAGCAACTGGGGGACGTTACTCAGCTGCTGGGGGTCGTTACTCAGCTTCTGGGGGTCGTTACTCATATACCGGGGGTCGTTACTTAGCTACTGGGGGTCGTTACTCAGCTACCGGGGGTCGTTACTCAGCTACTGGTGGTCGTTACTCATATACCGGGGGTCGTTATTCAGCTACTGATGGTCGTTACTCAGCTACTGATGGTCGTTACTCAGCTACTGAGGGTCGTTACTCAGCTACTGGGGTCGTTACTCAGCTACTGAGGGTCGTTACTCAGCTACTGAGGGTCGTTACTCAGCTACTGGGGTCGTTACTCAGCTACTTAGGGTCGTTACTCAGCTACTGGGGTTGTTACTCAGCTACTGGGGGTCGTTATTCAGCAACTGAGGGTCGTTACGCAGCTACCGGGGGTCATTACTCAGCTACTGGGGGTCGTTATTCAGCTACTGGGGGTCGTTATTCAGCTACTGAGGGTCGTTACTCAGCTACTGGGGGTCGTTACTCATATACCAGGGGTCGTTAATCAGCTACCGGGGTCGTTACTCAGCTACTGAGGGGTCGTTACTCATATACCGGGAGTTGTTACTCAGCTACTGGGGGACGTTACTCAGCTACTGGGGGTCGTTACTCAGCTACTGGGGGTCGTTATTCAGCTACTGGGGTCGTTACTCAGTTACTGGGGGTCGTTACTCATATACCGGGAGTCCTTACTCAGCTACTGGGGAACGTTACTTAGCTACTGAGGGTCGTTATTCAGCTACTTGGGGTCGTTACTCAGCTACTGGGGGTCGTTATTCAGCTACTGAGAGTCGTTACTCAGCTACTGGGGGTCGTTACTCAGCTAATAGGGTCGTTACTCAGCTACCGGTTGTCGTTACTAATATACCAGGATCGTTACTCATTTACCAGGGGTCGTTACTCAGCTACTAGCGGTCGTTACTCAGCTACTGGGGTCATTACTCAGCTACTGGGGTCGTTACTCAGCTACTGGGGGTCGTTACTCAGCTACCGGGGCTCGTTACTCAGCTACTGGGGGTCGTTACTCAGCTACTGGAGGTCGTTACTCAGCTACTGGGGGTCGTTATTCAGCTACTGAGGGTCGTTACTCAGCTACTGGGGGTCGTTACTCAGCTACTGGGGTCGTTACTCAGCTGCTGAGGGTCGTTACTCAGCTACTGGGGGGTCGTTATTCAGCTACTGAGGGTCGTTACTCAGCTACCGGGGGTCGTTACTCAGCTACTGGTGGTCGTTACTCATATACCGGGGTCGTTATTCAGCTACTGAGGGTTGTTATTCAGCTACTGAGGGTTGTTATTCAGCTACTGAGGGTCGTTACTCAGCTACTGAGGGTCGTTACTCAGCTACTGGGGTCGTTACTCAGCTACTGGGGGTCGTTACTCAGCTACTGGGGTCGTTACTCAGCTACTGAGGGTCGTTACTCAGCTACAGGGGGTTGTTACTCAGCTACTGGGGGTCGTTATTCAGCTACTGAGGGTCGTTACTCAGCTACTGGGGGTCGTTACTCATATACCGGGGGTCGTTAATCAGCTACCGGGGTCGTTACTCAGCTACTGGGGGGTCGTTACTCATATACCGGGAGTCGTTACTCAGCTACTGGGGACGTTACTCAGCTACTGGGGGTCGTTACTCAGCTACTGGGGGGTCGTTACTCAGCTACTGGGGGTCGTTACTCAGCTACTGGGGGTTGTTACTCAGTTACTGGGGGTCATTACTTATATACCGGGAGTCGTTACTCAGCTACTGGGGGACGTTACTCAGCTACTGGGGGTCGTTACTCAGCTACTGGGGGTCGTTACTCAGCTACTGGGGGTCGTTACTCAGTTACTGGGGGTCGTTACTCAGCTACTAGGGGTCGTTACTCAGCTACTGGGGGTCGTTACTCAGTTACTGGGGGTCGTTACTCAGCTACTAGGGGTCGTTACTCAGCTACTGGGGGTCGTTACTCAGCTACTGGGGTCGTTACTCAGCTACTAGGGGTCGTTACTCAGCTACTGGGGGTCGTTACTCATATACCGGGGGTCGTTACTCAGCTACCGGGGTCGTTAATCATATACCGGGGGTCGTTACTCAGCTACCGGGGTCGTTACTCAGCTACCTGAATTCACTAGTTAGCTACCTTGAGTCGTTACTCAGGTATCAGGGGTCGTTACTCAGTTGCCGGGAGTCGTTACTCGGCTCCCAGTGATCTTTGTTCAGCTATCCTGGGTCATTACTCATCTCCCGTGGGTCATCACTCACCGATATGTATAAGACTCATCTGTACTGGATCGTTATTCGTCTCCCATGAGTTGGTACTCATCCTACTGTATAATACTCACCTCCCCTGGGCCATTACTCACTCCATTGTAATACCCATCTTCCGTGGGCAGGACGGATTCAAGTCCTGGTTCATGGATTTTGAAATCTACCTAATTTAAGCTAGCTTAACCTAACCTAATCCAGCTCAACCTAACTCAACCGAGCGAAATACAGCCTAACCTAAGCTGTAGCAATACTCGCGGGGGCCTGACGGCTGAGTGGACAGCGCTCGGGATTCGTAGTCGTAGGGTCCGGGGATCAATCCCCGGAGGTGGCGGAAACAAATGGGCAGAGTTTCTTTCACCCCTGATGCCCCTGTTCACCTAGCAGTAAATAGGTACCTGGACGTTAGACAGCTGCTACGGGCTGCTTCCTGGTGTGTGTGTGTGTGTGTGTATTCACCTAGTTGTGCTAGCTGGGGTTGAGCTCTGCTCTTTCGGCCCGCCTCTCAACTGTTTCTAACTACTACTACTACTATTTTTTTCTCATCACACACACACACAAACCTCGGGAAGCAGCCTGTGACAGCTGACTAACTCCCAGGTA